CTGGTTCGACACTAGCTCGACTCAAGCTCGACGTAGCACCAACGCATGAGTTGAGCGAGAGGCCACAGGAAGGCCCCCAACAACTATATCTGACAACACATTTGTTTATGTGTTTTGGCAGTTGGGGTCGTCGGGCCCTGGATTGATCAACAAACACAAGAGTCGGGGCCCAAACGTTTGCCTCGCGGAAGTAGTCGAGATGCTCAGGGGCCCACGTCATGAAACAAGATACAGCGTCAGAGGGGAGGAGTTGCCGTCTTGTCCGCCGAAGGCGCCTGTGCACCACCGTTCCTGTCCAGGGCCTTCATGGGCCCAAGGATGGTGCATACACTCTCCCAGGGACCCTACAGTCAACCCACGTAGTAAGGATAAACAACCTTCCCAAGGTTCCTCTTCCATCCTGCCCTTTAGGCCCATCCTTGGCCGCTTTCGCTGGCCGCAGCCAGCGAAGTGTCGATATGGTCTTCTAAGGTCTTGCATCCTGGTCGTGCGTCCTTTTTACACGGGTCGACTGTATGCACCATCCTCGGGCCGAGATCGTCTTGGCCAGGCACATGGTGGTCTGAGGGTGCCTATGTTGCGTGTTGGGACATTGCGCTTCCTGTGCATCCAGGGTGCGTGTCTCTCTCGGCAGGTGCCGCGGAGCGCCCTCGCCGCTCGGAGGCCGGATCTGCGTCGAGATTCTGGTCGCAACGCGCTCCAGGACAGGCTTCGAGTAGGGGATCGACTACAGAACTGATTCACCCCAAAGTTGATTTTCCCGTCGAGCTATACGTGGAATGCTCGCAGATCTACGAACATTCGACGCATTTCTCATGGAGTCCGACGAAGAAGCCGCTTCTGGGGGTAAGTGTCTTCTGTAGTCGATCCCCTACTCGAAGGTTCGGGAGATGGAGGAGGATCCCGGATCGATGCCGACACCTTCCCTCGGTTCACCTTTTCGGGGGGCTTCTTGCGGGGCCATCTTCGCCACGGCTGGATTCGGCGCGGCATTTTGGTCGGGGCGCGCCTTGGAAGAAGTACCCGTCGGTCGTTGAAAGTAGGTATTTCTAGGAAGCCTGAATCCAAATCTGCCGAATCGATGTGCGCAGTGGTCTCGGTGACGCAAACATCGCGTAATGTAGTAAGGCGTATGGTTTCGAAGACGCGATTCTTTTATATTTGACGGCATCTCGGACGCAGAGCAGCCGCAATCTACAAGGGATCGTGGCATCAGAAAGAGCGTGTTCTACCGCTGCTGGCGGAAAACCGGGGGGGGTCACTACCAGTTCGAACCCCTCCCCCCCCCCCCCTCCGAAAAACCGGGGGGGTGTTTACCGGTTCGAACCTCTCCCCCCCCCCAATTCATTATGAAAAGGGGGGGGTCACTACCGGTTCGAACCCACCCACCCCCCTTCGGAAACCGGGGGGGGTCACTACCGGTTCGAACCCCCCCCCCCCCCTCGAAAACCGAGTGGGGGTGCGGACAGTGGTGGGGACGGTGGTGGTGGGGACAGTGGTGAGGGGACAGCGGGACAGTGGTGGGGACAGTGGGACAGTGGTGGGGACGGTAGTGGTGGGGACAGTGGTGAGGACAATGGTGGGAACAGTGGGGACAGTGGACAGTGGTGGGGACGGTGGTGGTGGGGACAGTGGTGTGGGGACAGTGGGAATGAGGTGGAAACAGTGGGACAGTGGAGGGTACAGTGGTGGTGGGGACAGTGGTGAAGGCGGTGGCGAGGACGGCGGTGGGACAATGGGACAGAGGTACAGTGGGGACAGTGGTGGGGACAGTGGGGACAGTGGTGGGAACAGTGGGACAGCTCAGTGGGACAGCGGAGGAGTCAGTGGGACAGTGGGGACAGTGGGGATAGTCGGGCAGTGGTTGGGGCCGTGGAGAAAGTGGGGAGAGTGGAACCGTGGTGGGAACAGTGGTGGGGACAGTGGGGACAGTGCGACAGTGGTGGGGGCACTGGTGGGGACAGTAGGGACGGTGGTGGAACCAGTGGGGACAGTGGTGGTGAGGACAGTGGTGCTGGGAACAACAGTGGGGGATGTGATGCGGACGGTGGTAGGGACCGGGAGTCGTTTGCTGGCGGTGAGTGGGGGGGGGGGGGTTCGAACCGGTAGTGACCCCCCTCCGGTTTTCGAGGGGGGGGGGGGTTCGAACCGGTAGTGACCCCCTCGGCTTTCGAGGGGGAGGGGGGCGGGGGAGGGTTAGGGGAAGGGGGGGTTTTGCCGGGGGGGGGGGAGGGGAGGGAGGGGGGGTTCAGGAGGGGGGGGGGATTTTCGGAGGGGGGCAGTTTTTCCACATTAAGCGGTGGTGGATCACGCTCTCTCTGGCATCAGGAACGCGGGTATTGTATAATTTTACAGAGGGTCGTGGCCTCGGAGACGCGATCATTATGTAATATACAAGGGGTCGTGAGCTGGGGGGCGCGACGATGGCATACTTTGCATGGGGTCGTGGACTCGGTGGATACGATTATTGTATGATGAAAAACAGTTCATGGTCTCGAGGACGCGACCACTGCGTAAATTACGAAGGTTCATGGTTTCGAGGGCGCAACCACGGTGCAATTTACAAGGGGTCGAGGCCTCGGGGGCGCGAACACTTGTGTAACTTACAAGGAATATTGCCTCGGGGGCGCGAGTCGCATGTATTTCTACATGCTCCACGGCTCCGCAGGAATTCAGACCACGCGCTTCGGGCTTGGTGAAGTAATCGATTTGGGGCGCCCCCCCCTCGCGCGGACTTCCACAATCAAAGTAGGAAGCTGAACGTAGAACCAGAACATGGGAGACTGAACCATTGAGGTAGGAAGACAAACGTAGGACTAGTAGGACATGGGAGACGGACCCGTTCAAGTCGGAAGGCGAAGGCAGGACCACACACATATATATATATATATATATATATGTATATATGAAAGAGCGTGTTCTACCGCTGCTGGCGGAAAACCGGGGGGGGTCACTACCGGTTCGAACCCCTCCCCCGCCCCCCCACTCCGGAAAACCGGGGGGGGTCACTACCGGTTCGAACCCCTCCCCCCCCCCCCCAGTTCATCATGAAAAGGGGGGGGTCACTACCGGTTCGACCCCCCCCCCCCTCGAAAACCGGGGGGGGTCACTACCAGTTCGAACCCCCCCCCCCCTCGAAAACCGAGTGGGGGTGCGGACAGTGGTGGTGGGGACGGTGTTGGTGGGGACAGTGGTGAGGGGACAGCGGGACAGAGGTGGGGACACTGGGACAGTGGGACAGTGGTGGGGACGGTAGTGGTGGGGACAGTGGTGGGGACAATGGTGGGAACGGGGGGGACAGTGGACAGTGGTGGGGACGGTGGTGGTGGGGACAGTGGTGTGGGGACTGGGAATGAGGTGGAAACAGTGGGACAATGGAGGGTACAATGGTGGTGGGGACAGTGGTGAAGGCGGTGGCGAGGACGGCGGTGGGACAATGGGACAGAGGTACAACAGTGGGGACATTGGCGGGGACAGTGGGAACAGTGGTGGGAACAGTGGGACAGCTCAGTGGGACAGCGGAGGAGTCAGTGGGACAGTGGGGACAGTGGGGATAGTCGGGCAGTGGTTGGGTCCGTGGAGACAGTGGGGAGAGTGGAATCGTGGTGGGAACAGTGGTGGGAACAGTGGTGGGAACAGTGGTGGGAACAGTGGTGGGAACAGTGGGGACAGTGCGACAGTGGTGGGGGCACTGGTGGGGACAGTAGGGACGGTGGTGGAACCAGTGGGGACAGTGGTGGTGAGGACAGTGGTGCTGGGAACAACAGTGGGAGATGTCATGCGGACCGGTGTGAGGGGGGGGTCGAACTGGTAGTGATCCTCCTCCGGTTTTCGAGGGGGGGGGTCGAACCGGTAGTGACCCCCCCCCGGTTTTTTCCGGAGGGGGGGGGGGGGGAGAGGGGTTCGAACCGGTAGAGGGGGTTTTGTCTGGGGAGGGGGGGGGGGTCCAGCAGGGGGGGGGATTTTCGGAGGGGGGGGGGGGGGGCAATTTCCCACAGTAGAGCGGCGGTGGATCACGCTCTCTCTCTCTCTCTCTCTCTCCTATATATATATATATATATATATATATCGTGGGCGACGGATGTCGTTGCAAAAGCAGGAGGGCGATCGAACGCAGGGCTGGAGCGCGCGAGGCTCGAGCCTGGAGCGGGGGCAGGGCGCGGCAGGCCCGGGCCGCGGAGCCCGGCGGCCCCACCTGGGGGCCCCGACGGACCGCGCGGAGCTCCCGAGAGGTGGGGATGCGTTCGAGAGGAGGCCAGTCCACAACACACCCTGCACACGAAACCCCAGCCTGAGACCCCATGACGCCCGCTGATATTTGGCGTGGGAACGTCGCGCTCGCCATCGCAAAATCATCGAAACCCAAGAAAAAGGGGGGCACCCTGGAGGCAAGCAGGGCGTTCCTTGGCATGGGTCTCCACTGTAGGAGACAACTTCTGGAAAGTCTCCGCAAATACCGACTTAGTGGGCCCTGGAAACGACAGGGCCGTTTTTCAACTGGTTCCGTCCTGCCGTTTTTGTTGCCGGTTCCGACGCCGTTGTTTTACCGGTTCCGTCGCCGTTCTTTGACCGGTTCCGGCTCCGGTTCCAATCCTGGAGCCGTTTTTTTTGCCGTTTCCGGTCGTCTTTTATTTGCCGCTTCCATTTTCAAGGGACATACACACCTCGAAACTAGTCAAAAAATAGTCCAAAAAATAGAGGGGGACTATTGTTTGAATCTGTTTTTACCTTTTTTGCGTATTTTTTGCAATTTTTCTTCGACAATCCCCCTGTAGGGGGACACGCTCGACATAACCCGAGGCCCAGCGGCGGCCGGCCCAGAACAGCGGGGAAGACCTGCCGTGCTGCTGCGTCCCCACGCGGGGGGGTCATGTTTTTTCGTTTGCCTGTGCTCTGCTGTGTTGTGGCTGTCTTCTGGTGTCGTGTGTGTTCCCTGCCGTGCCGTTTGCTGTGTTGTGTTTCGGTTCCGTCTTTCCTTCCGCGTTCCTCGTGGTAGCAGAATGGCCGTACGTATGCGTGCCACCCGACCCTCCCAACCGGTGCGCGTCTTGGACGTTGTCTACAACGCCAGCAGCAACGAATTGGTGCGAACGAAGACCCTCGTGAAGAACGCCATTGTGCAGATCGACGCGCAGCCCTTCAAGCAGTATTACCTCAAGAAGTACGGCGTCGACCTTGGGAAGAAGATCAAGGTCGGAGGGGGGTCGAGGTGAGGCAACAGCGGCCCCCCCTGGCGTTTCTCCTCGCCACGGCTGCATCCGCGTCTGCAAACGGGCCAGGGTGGATCTTGGGAAGAGTCTGGGGTCCGACTTTGGGCAGATCTGGCCTCGGCGGGAAATCCGCCGTCGTCTCAACCTTGCCCTCCGACGAGGGCGCCCCCGTCAAGAAGGAGGGCGAGGAGGAGGTCAAGAGGAGCCACCACGTCATGGCGAAGCAGAAGTACCTGGCCTCCAAGCAGAAGCTCGATCCGGGCGTCGAGGACCAGTTCCAGAGCGGTCGGTTGCTCGCCTGCATCGCCTCCCGCCCGGGGCAGAGTGGCCGTTGCGACGGCTATGTCCTCGAGGGCGACGAGCTCACATTTTACAAGAGGAAGCTGGAGAAGAAGAAGAAGCAGTGAGCCGCGCGCGGGGGCGATACCGACGCGCAGCGGGGGTTACGTTGCATCTTTGGGGGGTCTCGCCCGTTCCCAGAATTCGTGTCGTTTCTTGTGCTGAACGCGGGCTCGATGCGAACTCGACGCGGAATTGTCGCGGATTCGTCGCGGATTCGACGTGCATTCGATGCGGGCTCGACGAGTCCGACATGGTTTCGACGCGGATAATGGACGCGACGGGGCAGACAAGGATCCCCGAATATGCAACATTCACGCGGGAGCGGCGTGCCGGTACCGCAGCTCGTCTTGGAGACTACCCTCCACCACGGTTGCAGTCGCCTCGACACCTCCTTGGCCAGGGCGCTCGCGAGGAGAGGTCGAGGGAGTGTCATATCTTTTGCAGAGATCGGAAACTGGAGCTTAAACATTACCAGTGGCGGGCTGGTTTTCATTCCCAGGACCTTTTTTGAGGGTCGGGGACGACGTCGGGGCGGTGTGGTGTATACTGTCTCTCCCGTTTCCCCAGGAATCCCGCCAGGATCCCGTACACACCCGGATCCGCCCTCCTGTGCGAGTTCCCCAGTGCGGGGCCGGAGGAAGGCGTCGGTGTAGAGAGAGAGCTCGGCTCCTCGGATCGTCCCGAGGCTCGGCCGTCGGAGGGATGGGCCTGGGCAGCTCTTCGAGCGGAACAGTGGGGGCCCCTTCCAAGAAACCATCAGCTTCCCTCCAGGGTACCCCTAAGTCGGGCGTGTCCCCCTACAGGGGGATTTTCGACGAAAAATAGAAAATACCCCTAAGTACACCCAAAAGGTCAAAACATACTCAACAAATAGTCTCCAGACTATTTTTGGAATTTTTGTTTGATTATGTTTGGGGTATTTTTCATTGTTTTCATCGAAAATCCCTCTGTAGGGGGACAGGCCCGACTTGAGGGTACCCTGGCTTTCTTGGATTCCGATGGAGTCGCGATGGCAAGCGTGGCGCTTGCGTGCCTGAGAACCACTGGGCGTCCTCGGGTTTCAGGGCTGGGTTTCTCGCGGAGGTTTCTCGTGGCCGAGCCCCGACGGTATGTCCACTCCGCGGGGTGTCAGCGGTCCGAGGAGGGAGCTCTGTAGACGACCACCGTGCCCCTTTGGGGATCGATCGTCGGAGACCTCGGCAGGCGGTGGAGACGGCAATTGTGTTACATGTATATGTATATGTAGATGTAGATGAAGATGCAGAGGTATATGTATATGTATATGTATATGTATACATGTATAATATACTTATATACATATATGTATGTATGTATGTATGTATGTATATATATATATATGTATATATGTATATATGTATATATATACATTCACAAGACTGCATTGGCGCTACGCGCCATGCACCTTGGTCCTTGAAGTTTTGTGTGCAGGCGAAATAGCAGGAAGGTCAGGCCGACAGTCTAGCGATAACTCCTGGTTGCCTTTTCCGGCATCGCCGCTAGGACAGTGTTATTCGTTATCCTTCCTCCATGCTTCTCTTTCCTTATTATCGTCATATCTTGCGCATTCTCCCCATCCTCCTCAGCTCTTTTTTGCGGAGGCTCCTCCTTGGAGAGCCTCTAGGGGCTCCAAAAAAGTTGTTTCAGGCTTTCTTAAGGCCTTCTGGAGACCTCCTGGGCGTATTCTAGGGGCGTCCGGGGACTTCCTCGGGCCACCCTGCCTCCAACCGCGGTCTCCCTGAACGACCGAAACACGATTTGGAATTCTTCGGAGGGTGTGTTTGGGGCATCTTGGGCCGCCATGGGGCTCTCTGAGGGCCATCTTGGACCCGTGTTGTGCTGTTTTGGGGCTTTCTTGGACTGCTTGGAAGCCCTTGCGGATGGTTGTGGGGCGATTTGGGAACCTTCCCAGGCGGCTTCGGACGCCCAGGAGACCGCCGTCTTGGAGCGTCGGGAAGCCGAAAAGAGGAGAACCCTAAAATTCACCAAAAACCCACAGAAAATCAATGATTTTTGCCTCGGGGGGCCTTCTTGGGAGTGCTCATGGAGGCCTCTTTGGGGCCGTCCTGGAGGCCTTTTGGCCCATCTTGAGGTCACGTCGGTCACTCTTGGAGCGCTCTTGTGCTGTCTTGCGGGGTCTCTGGGACGTCTCCGATGACCCCCCTGATCGCCCTAGGTGTGCTGGGAAGGTTTGGCAAAACGCCATGTGAGGCCCGGTGGCCGCTTCGAGGCCCGTCTTGAGGGTCCCAAAGCCCCAGATCCCCGGAGTCCGGTTTTGGGGGCGGGGGGGACGGGTTTTCCCCCCGCCCGGGCTGATAAAGATATAGGAAGAGGAATCGTGTTATGTGTGTGTGTGAGTATATATATATATGTGTGTATATATATATATGTATATGTATGTATATATATATATATATATATATATATTCACATCAGTAAAGTCCATTCAAGATCCCCCGATGTGTTGTCCCAAGGCGGGAGTCTCGTCTTACGCGGATGGGGCGGGTGAGCTGGACAGAGAGGGAGATAATGAGATGGTGAACGGAGAGGCGGGAGGGCGGGCGGGTGGCGGGCGGCCGGGCGGGCGGGCGGGCGGCGGTCGGGTTGGGATTTGACTCGACTCCTTAAGTATTCTCTCTTGCTGCGGAAGACTGTTGAGTACTGGGTGTTGTCTTGGAGACTGGGTTTGTTGAGTGCAATGTGCTGTCTTAAATACGGAGGCTGTTGAGTACAGGGTGGTGCGTGCTACACGGAAGGCGGGCGGGCGGGCGGGCAGGCGAGTGGGCGGGCGGGCGGCGGGCCTGCGGATCGGGATTTGAATCGACTCTTTATGGATTCTCTCCTGCACCGGGAATTTGTTGAGTATGGAGATGTGTCTTGGAGACGGGAGATGTTGAGTACAGGGTGTCTTCTTGGAGACGGAGGCTGTCCCCTCAAGGTTCATGGAATTTGCAAAACAGACGGGTCTTCTAGGAACCGCACGAAAACGTGGATACTAAGAAAATCGCGTGAGGGGATCTTGAATGGACTATATCCAGATATGCATATATGAAACTGTATATGTAAATATGCCTATCGATTTACAAATACATGTATTTTTATATATACATACACACATATTTAGTTGTGTGTTCGGTGCCCTTGGGGCAGGCATGTATCCATCGTCGTTGAAAGTAGGTATTTCAGGATTCCCTGATTCCCATCTACTTTAGGCGCCTTCCTACTTCAAGAGTCGAGTGGTTTTCCCTCGTCCCTCCTTTTTCGGGGGCGGGTGGACACTTTCAACGCCTTCATACTTCATGGTTCTACTTTCTTCTTCCGACCGTTGGGTATCCATATCCACCGCCCCCGCTGGGGTCCCAGGACGTCGGTTCCCCAGGCGGTGGATATGTCTAGGCCTCCTGGATGGGGTCGGAGCAGATGGGGTCGGAGCGTCGCGCCGCATCCCCGATGCCTCGGCGATGCGGCTCCATGCGCAGCCCCATTTGATTCACGTCGACGTCGCCGGTGCCTCGCCGACGTCGACGATGCATCGCTGGCGCATCGCCGATGTACAGTCGGCCCGGATTAGTAGGTCGACCCTGCCAGCTCAAGGGTACCCTTGTGTCCTGTGCCTCGCGACACGTACCTTCTTACTTTCCTATGGCCCTTATGGCGGTGTGGCCCTCGGAAGGGTCATGTGTCCTCTCGCGTGTCCTGTCCAATCAAGGCCGACTGTATGGGCGATGCGGCGCGATGCTCCGACCCCTTCTACCCCGACCCCATTTTTCAGGAGAGGAAAAAACACAGACACAATGAATCTTCGATTCCTCAGAAAATATGGGAACATATGGCAAGTGGGGGGAAAGACAGAAACCCAGAAAATATGGGATATGGGGAGTATTTTTATTCCCCACATGCTTCGTGGGGTTCTGGTTTTCTTCCCTGCCGCGCCGCGCCCGCGTCTCCCCCACACCCGCCCTCCTCCCCTCCTCCTCCTCCTCCTCCTCCTCCTCAGCACAGCGCAGCACAGCACAGCAGACCGCAGCACAGCATAGGACAGCACAGCACAGCTCAGCAGAGCACAGCACAGCACGTCTCGGCGACACGCGTCTACATACAGCCGCACGCATGCACACACTCGCACACACAAGACGACACCAGTCCTGGCATAGCAGGCGTGGCACTTTCTCGACACCATAGGGGGTGCGCAGGGGGTGGTCTCTCGCTGCGGTCTCTATACGCCCCAGTCGTCCTGCTATAGCAGGCGTGGCCCCAGTCGTCCTGGTATAGCAGGCGTGGCACTTTCTCGACACCATAGGAGGTGCGCAGGGGGTGGTTTCTCGCTGCGGTCTCTGTACGCGCCGGTCGTCCAGGCATAGCAGGCGTGGCACTTTCTCGACACCATAGGGGGTGCGCAGGGGGTGGTCTCTCGCTGCGGTCTCTATACGCGCCGGTCGTCCAGGCATAGCAGGCGTGGCACTTTCTCGACACCATAAGGGGTGCGCAGGGGGTGGTCTCTCGCTGCGGTCTCTATACGCGCCGGTCGTCCAGGCATAGCAGGCGTGGCACTTTCTCGACACCATAGGGGGTGCGCAGGGGGTGGTCTCTCGCTGCGGTCTCTATACGCGCCGGTCGTCCGGCATAGCAGGCGTGGTCCATAGCGCATAGCAGGCGTGGCACTTTCTCGACACCATAGGGGGTGCGCAGGGGGTGGTCTCTCGCTGCGGTCTCTATACGCGCCGGTCGTCCAGGCATAGCAGGCGTGGCACTTTCTCGACACCATAGGGGGTGCGCAGGGGGTGGTCTCTCGCTGCGGTCTCTATACGCGCCGGTCGTCCAGGCATAGCAGGCGTGGCACTTTCTCGACACCATAGGGGGTGCGCAGGGGGTGGTCTCTCGCTGCGGTCTCTATACGCGCCGGTCGTCCAGGCATAGCAGGCGTGGCACTTTCTCGACACCATAGGGGGTGCGCAGGGGGTGGTCCCTGAGCGCGGCTGCTATACGCGCCGGTCGTCCAGGCATAGCAGGCGTGGCACTTTCTCGACACCAGGGGGTGCGCAGGGGG